TAGAATATATTTAGAACTACACATTAAATTTCTTTTTGCAATTATCATTTTTTTAACATCTCAATTCCAACCCTGCTCCTCTATCTGGACTTGGGACCAGGAAAAGTGAAACAGGCACTCTGGCGGAGTTACACACACACACACATGGACGTGTAGGGGTGAACATCTCCAGCTCTGTTTTTTAAAGCAAAATCTGACAATAGAAACATGTCAGTTATCTTACCAAGTGAAAAATAACTGTATGGTTTACACATGACACGTGACTCCCTAACTGCTAATTAAATTCAAATTTTCAGAGACTTAAACTTAATTCTGTTAAATGAGCACTATATTAACTATAGTTAGAGGTCAGGGAGCAGGACTGATGTTGTTTGTTAGCTAGCTCCCACATTAATGTTGCAGCTCTTTTATTAGCCATAGCCGCTACCTGAGAGATGACCAATATGGGTAATTGCAGATTAACATTCATGACAACTGTTCAATACTTTAATGTTGTTGAAACAGGAGCTAAAATGCTCTACAGGGAGTGCAGAATTATTAGGCAAATGAGTATTTTGTCCACATCATCCTCTTCATGCATGTTGTCTTACTCCAAGCTGTATAGGCTCGAAAGCCTACTACCAATTAAGCATATTAGGTGATGTGCATCTCTGTAATGAGAAGGGGTGTGGTCTAATGACATCAACACCCTATATCAGGTGTGCATAATTATTAGGCAACGTCCTTTCCTTTGGTAAAATGGGTCAAAAGAAGGACTTGACAGGCTCAGAAAAGTCAAAAATAGTGAGATATCTTGCAGAGGGATGCAGCAGTCTCAAAATTGCAAAGCTTCTGAAGCGTGATCATCGAACAATCAAGCGTTTCATTCAAAATAGTCAACAGGGTCGCAAGAAGCGTGTGGAAAAACCAAGGCGCAAAATAACTGCCCATGAACTGAGAAAAGTCAAGCGTGCAGCTGCCAAGATGCCACTTGCCACTAGTTTGGCCATATTTCAGAGCTGCAACATCACTGGAGTGCCCAAGAGCACAAGTTGTGCAATACTCAGAGACATGGCCAAGGTAAGAAAGGCTGAAAGACGACCACCACTGAACAAGACACACAAGCTGAAACATCAAGACTGGTTTTTCTAAGGTTTTATGGACTGATGAAATGAGAGTGAGTCTTGATAGGCCAGATGGATGGGCCCGTGGCTGGATTGGTAAAGGGCAGAGAGCTCCAGTCCGACTCAGACGCCAGCAAGGTGGAGTACTGGTTTGGGCTGGTATCATCAAAGATGAGCTTGTGGGGCCTTTTCGGGTTGAGGATGGAGTCAAGCTCAACTCCCAGTCCTACTGCCAGTTTCTGGAAGACACCTTCTTCAAGCAGTGGTACAGGAAGAAGTCTGCATCCTTCAAGAAAAACATGATTTCCATGCAGGACAATGCTCCATCACACGCGTCCAAGTACTCCACAGCGTGGCTGGCAAGAAAGGGTATAAAACAAGAAAAACTAATGACATGGCCTCCTTGTTCACCTGATCTGAACCCCATTGAGAACCTGTGGTCCATCATCAAATGTGAGATTTACAAGGAGGGAAAACAGTACACCTCTCTGAACAGTGTCTGGGAGGCTGTGGTTGCTGCTGCACGCAATGTTGATGGTGAACAGATCAAAACACTGACAGAATCCATGGATGGCAGGCTTTTGAGTGTCCTTGCAAAGAAAGGTGGCTATATTGGTCGCTGATTTGTTTTTGTTTTGTTTTTGAATGTCAGAAATGTATATTTGTGAATGTGGAGATGTTATATTGATTTCACTGGTAAAAATAAATCATTGAAATGGGTATATATTTGTTTTTTGTTAAGTTGCCTAATAATTATGCACAGTAATAGTCACCTGCACACACAGATATCCCCCTAAAATAGCTAAAACTAAAAACAAACTAAAAACTACTTCCAAAAACATTCAGCTTTGATATTAATGAGTTTTTTGGGTTCATTGAGAACATGGTTGTTGTTCAATAATAAAATTATTCCTCAAAAATACAACTTGCCTAATAATTCTGCACTCCCTGTATTGTACTATGAGGTCTTTTAGATATGATAACAGTGCATCAGTGCTCAGGTCTAACTTGGTGATGTAAATCTGCCTAACCAGACAGTTAACTGTGTGTGTGTTGGCTATCATTCACGATAGCCAACAGGCTACTGCAGCTGCTGCCTGTTTCATTAACAGGCGAGAGAGATTTGAGATATTTACCACCTGAAAGGTAATCTGGTGTCAGACACCAGGTGGTTGTCCTGTGGTGCAGTCTAGCATTATCAAGTCAGGGCACTGAAGACTACTCAAGTAACTGATTAGTGGTGCTAATGATTTTTTCTTAACATTTAGAGTTACAGCTTCTAAACTGGTGTCCAGCAGTTTCATTTAAGAACTTTTAATAGCATTTTAATATTTAATTATTGCTATCTAATTAATGTGAAAAAAAACCCCACTGAAACACACCACATTTAACTACTCTGTCCAATCGGGACTGTCAGGCTACGAGCATGAGGTATGGTTGTATAGTTTCAGACCACTGGGATAGCCAACATCTTATTATTTTGCTGCTGCCATTAACAGTTTGGTGGGAAATAGGATTATGACACTTTTGTGTAACTGATGATCTCTCTTTTGTCTTTGTTGTGGGAGGAGCCTTAGCGAGTCCTGATGTCATACTCAGCTTGGGCTGTGTTGTCTTTGGCGAGACGTGGCTGGCAGAGGAAGGTATTCTTGTGCCTGAAAATTGGTTTTTTTTTTTTTCAAGTGGACAAGAGCATTGCTTTAATGCAACTGTGGCTCATGGAAGGCATCCAGATTGCAGTTTAATAATACAAAGTACTCAGCCTTGTTGAAGTTGCTGGCTGCAGTGCTGGAGGGTGCCCTACCTGGCAGCTCCATTGTCCTACTGGGATATTTCAATGCTCATGTGTGAAACGACAGTGAGGGCTGGAGGTGAGTCATCTAGAGCAGGGGTGTCGAGCTCCAGGCCTCGAGGGCCGGTGTCCTGCAGGTTTTAGATGTGTCCTTGATCTAACACAACTGATTTAAATGGCTAAATGACCTCCTCAACATGTCTTGAAGTTCTCCAGAGGTCTGGAATGACCTAATCATTTCAGGTGTGTTGACCCAGGGTGAGATCTAAAATCTGCAGGACATCGGCCCTCGAGGCCTGGAGTTCCCCACCCCTGTTCTAGAGGAACGGCTTCCCTGATCTGAACCTGAGCAGTGTTGTATCATTGGACTTCTCTGCAAGTCAAAGTTTGTCCTTGATTAACACCATGTCTGAACACAAATGCATTCTTTAGCGCACAGCAGAGTGGCATCAGGACACTCAGTTGCAGGTCGATGATTGATTCTGTATTAGACCTGTGGCTGTGTGTTCTGGACATTTAGGTGAAGAGAGGAGCTGAGCTCCTGATGACCAGCTGGTGAGCAGTTGGGCGGGGACACCCAAAACATACAGAGAAGGTAGAAAAATCTGGCAGAGGCTGGGATCCATAGGATTGTTAATTCCAACTTCAACAGTATTCTGAGGAAAGCTGGTGACATCAGCCTCTGGACATGGACCCTGTTTCCAAACCTCAAGGTAGCTGTCATGGTGGTAATCCCTGAATGGGTTGGTGGACACTGGAAGTGAAGGGAGCCATCAAGCACTAGAAGGACTCCTGGTTGGGCTTAATTAGCCTGTGGGACACTGGATGCAACTGACCTGTGCTAAGAGGCCACGCAGAGTTTTGCTCTGGCAGATGTTGAAGCAAAACCTCAGCTGTGGAGTTTTTGAATGCAAAGTACTTGTACAACTTACTTTGCTTTTCTTTCCAAACAGGACAGAGCTATTACAGCAGTTGCACTAGTTGAAATCTTCCATTTGTAGTTTTTTCTATGCTGGTGACTGTTTCTTTTGTAAAGCTAGACTCGAACCCTTGTAGGCAGATGCTGCCTCTGTTACTTTTTGGAGGAAATGCAGCTTTAAATGCAAGTTTTAAATGTAAAGATTCAAGATGTCTACAGTTTGTGTTATCCACAGACCTAACAGCATTTAACCCAAAACTGCTCCAAGCCAAAATTGTAATTTATTTTAATTTTAATTCAAATCTGATTCATCACCCAGTCCAAACGGCCCCTGATTCAAAAGCTGCCGTTTTTAATTAAACACACTAGTCGGCCACCTGTAAAACTGCAAACATCTGAGTAACATCTACAAAGACATTACTTGTTATAAGTCTGGCACATTAAAATTTTACATAAATGACTAAAAATATGCAGACATCAATTCAAAAGCAACAGCCGAAGAAAAACAAAGTGCTGTGATGCTTCCATTTAGCAAGTCCGATGCTACAGAAAATCATATAACAGTGCAGCATCGATCGTATGGGAAGCTTCCTCAGAGAGCTGCTCCTCTGAGCTAAATTTGTACCCAAACTGCTTCAAGCACACATAAATAATTTCCACTGCAGCTCTATTAAGAGGAAGAAGAAGAAAAATAACACCATGTGACAGCCACAGGGGATAAATACCTTGGATGCTAATTTACACAACATAATTATGCAATGACCTTTGTGATGTGGGACAACATGTTCTAGAGGTGTTTGCTGGGTAAAGCACCACAGCTGCTGCTGCTGCTGCTGAACATTTTAGATTTCCTGTCATGTCACACAAACAAGACAACAGAAAAAAAATATCACAAAACCAGTCACGTAAACGCACATGCACAGGAATCAACAAAGAGCCAAAACAATACATTCACCAGTTCCAAGCAGCTCATCTCTGGATTACATCCAAGAATTTGTGAATCTGGTCTCTGAAGATTTCTCTGCATCTCATCAGATATAAACTGAATCCTATTATGTCCCCACACAGCTGATTTTACACCAACTCTTCAGTCGTTTTCTTCAGAGACTCTATGCAGGTCCACACGCACTCACTGAGGGGGTGTTTTACAGGCAAAAAAATATAATTAATTAAAAAGATTCCTCACCAGATTGGCTAATGTAAATCCCCGTGTGGGGTAAAGTGATGAGAAGTGACGGAGAGGCTCTTCAGTCGAAGTCAACAGGAACCATCCGGGGAAGATCCAGTCTGCAGAAATAAAAATAGCTATGAGATGACAGCAGCTGTATGGCAGGACTGGAACAATTACTAATATTCAGACAATCTTATAAGATACTAAAGAATAATATTTTTTTAACAGAAATGAACAGAAAGAGTGAAGATTTCCTCTGAGCTGCTCAACCAAAAGCATCTGAATATCAAACAGCAAAAGCTACAGACTGAGCTGTCAATCACGCAGCAGACAGAGCTTCTCATTACTGTCATTGCTCAAGTTGAAATTCACAAGGTTTTTCGGTTGCCAGCGCTCTGAAACCATGTCTCCTCTGTCGATCAACCTGCACAGGAGTGTGAGGTTGTCTATTTCTTTAATTTGAGGCTAAATACTACATCACTTCCTGTGCATGCGTAGGTTCAGCAGTGCAGCAGCTCGTCTTTTTAAGCAACAAGGACTCCTGTGCCATTTTAAACATCAAATGCAAAACCTTTTCAAAAAAGTCAATAAATAAGCCATTAGTACTAGTTACATACCCTCTTTCTTTGCCCAAATGACATTAAACTGAATCTTTTTGGATCATTTTTAAGACTTTTCAGTCATTTCTACCTCTCCTTTGCAGTGTTTCTTCCGGTCTACTGAAAGCTCTCCAGAACAAAGAAGACCCTCAGCTGCATGGATTTTTCAAACAGTCTTAGCGATTGTATCTCATTTGCCTGTTTACCACAGAACAAATTATTTTCAGTTGAATATTCTTTATAGGTAATAATTTATATGTAGTCATACTGATGGGATATGGTATTTGATGGAGATCTACGGGTACTGTCATGATACGTTTTCTTTATTTGTAATACATGTAGTGCAGCAATTTTTGTTTGGAAATACTAAACGTTCCTTCCATCCATACATCCGCTACCTTCACATGGTGGAGGGGCTTGTGTGTCCCAGGGATCTCATGTTGCCAGGGGGCTTTTGCTCCCTCGTACAGCCTCCCATGGCAAACTGGTTTCAGGTGATGGACCAGACAAAGAGAGGATTCAAAAACCCCTGTGAGTATAAGATCTAGGGAACAATTCACCCTGCCCAGGATAGGGTTACCAGGGCCCCACCCTGGAACCAGGCCCAGGGAGGGTGCCCGAGGGCGAGCGCCTGGAGACCATGGGACATGGGGCTACTACCTGTAGGGTGGGCCCATGCGGCGGCCGGGGTCAGAGACCCTGTTGGGCCAATCACCAGCTACCGAGACTAACGATTGGAAAATGGAATGTCACCTCTCTGGTGGGGAAGGACCCGATCCACCGCGTGAGGTTGAGAGGTACCAGCTCAACGCAAAGGGCTCCAGAACCCTGGAGAGGAGCTGGACTCCCTTAGTCTAGAGTTGCCCTTGGCGAGAGGCGGCAGGCTGAGGTAGGAATCTTAGTATCCCCTCGCCTTGCTGCCTGTACGTTGGAGTTTTTCCAGTGGACAAGAGCGTTTGTTCCCTGCGCCTTTGGGTCGGGGAACATGTCCTGACTGTCGTCTGCACCATTAGACCTGCATTCTCTTAAATGGCCACCAGGGAGCAATAGCTGTAGCTGCAAAAGTGCCCAGACCTCTCTAAACATTTATGGTTTCAGTTACTTGTTTTGGATTACACTGATTTTAACTGCCATAAATGTAAATTATGTCAGTTTGTTTAATTTATTGTGTTCATTTATGTTATTTATTTTATTTATTTATTGTTGTTCCTTTTGGGGTAGGAACTAAGGTTCATTCTGTGTTGCACACAGGCCTTTTTAAGTGACGTAAAGGGAAGTAAAAGGCATGTGCAAAGAAGCTAAGTTAATAAGTTAACTAAGGCAGAAGAAGGAATAAATAAGCAGTTTAAAGTAAAAGAAAGCTGCAAAGAAGAAGAAATTGGGAATTATTTTTGTTAAGTTTTGTTCCTGAAGCGGACTCATTCCCTCACGGTTACGTGCAGCCAGCGAGGTACGTTAACTGTGTTTGTTTATCGCGTATTTGTTAACTTGGGTTTAAATGTTTATTTGTAATATTTATGTTGGTCATTCTGTACTTTTATGTAATAACAGTTTGACGGTGGATTTTATGGTGTTTCTGAGGAGAAGTTTGACGGAAGAATAAATCCATCAATGAATGAAGAACCGTGGTGTCGTGTATTAACTGGAGGGAGTGATACTGATTAAAATGCAAACAGATTTTTTCCCCCCTCAGTGTCATAGAATAAGATTCGGAAATAAACAATTGGCTAATGACTTCGAATTCCTTTAGCCAATGAGCTTGTGTTTTCAGTCTGATCCAATCACAAAGGTGACATGAGTGATGTCACAGTAGCCACCGGACCTTTTATACTGTGGAAGTGGGATGGCTGTCTTAGACTAGCTCTGAAGCTACTTTGAAGTTGCTAATGCAAGAGTAGAAGATGACCAGCATTATTCTTGGCCTTGGCCCAAATAACTACATTCTCAAATAAATTAAGCACTTAATAATGGGCCAAAACAAAAATAAGCAAGCAACAATAAAACCACAACGACTTAAAAAAAAATGTAAAAAATGAATGTAAATGCATTTTAGGATATCATTTTCCTTAAATTTTTATTTCAGACTTTTTGATCTTTTTGAACTGTATCCATCGTTGCCTTTTCCATAAAGAATGCCTGATGAAAAAGCTCAGGAGCACTGGAATGGATCAATGGTGCCTTCCAATCAGACTGATTTACTGAGATAAAAACATCACGGGTTATTGTTGTGAGGGGTGTTGTGTAAAACGTGACTCCAAGTCTGTGGGCAGGGCTTACAACGGTTGACTTTCGGGAAGGGAACACTGTGGGGTGAAGCTCTGGAGGGAAACAGGGGGACAGAGAAGCAGACGGCAGGAGTGAAAAAAGAAGAGGGAAAATAATTAACATACACAAAAAAATCTTGTCTTTCTTTTGTCCTCCCTGGCATTGCCTGGGCTCCATCCAGACGGCAGCTCCTCTCTTCTGTTGTATAGAACAGAGGGAGGCGACACGACGCCTGTCAAAAATCCGAGAAATTCTGCCCCGGAGCCCGATCTTAGCCAGAGCCTGTGACAAACAGTCTCCTCGCATGCCGACAGTCTAATCTGCACCAGCATCAACGAGGATGTGGGGGGGCTAGGATCATCCTGAACCACAGGAGGTCCCACACTGTTTTTACTGCAGCTGATAGCTGGAGTGATGCTGTTGTTTGTGTGCTAACAGCCCGTCTGATGGCTCCAGGAGCACAGCCAGATTGGCTCTTAGTGTGAAACAACAGCAGCCATTAAAGCTCCTCCATACGGCCTGGGGCGAGAGGAGCAGGAGGAGGGGGCCATCTACCCCAGACTGAGTCCAGCCCAGTGTGAGAAGGAGCTTGTCTTTTTGTTTTAGTTGGTAGTAAACACAATCAAGGGATTCAGCTTAGTTTGCATGGCCTTAGCTAATCTGATTATTTGATTCTTCTTACAGCAATGAAGATATTTCTGGAAAGAGAAAATGTGCTCTTCTTCCCCACGGCCGAGGCTTAGCAGAGTTTAGCACATGCAAACGCACCGTGGTGCATACTCTCTGTGTGAGTGCACAGACACGGGGGGAGGATCACTGCTCTTATCTGTCACGTGCCAATCTTAAATCCCCAGACACAGACACAGACATTGGGGGGCAGGTAAATTTCCACTGTAGGCATGCCTCAGGGGTCCCCCCACCTGCTGTATAAAAATAGCTGTTGGGTGATTTCTGACCCCTGCATGCGAGAACACACAGAATGCCAGAAATACACATCTTCAGCTTTTTAACATGGACAGTTTGTCATTTTTCAAGTAAACTCAATGTAATTTTTGACTTGACAAAAACTTAAATGCTCATTTAGGCTTTAGGGGAAAAGAAACAAACCATGGCAGTTTCTTAAAACAAATTATTAACAAGTAAGTCAGATGTGTGTTGTACCAGCCTCGAGTACATCTATAAAAAATGCACAAGTTAAGTGAGGCCTTTAAATAAAAACAGACGGAATTTCTATGGAGGCAGCACAATTGATCATTTAAACAAGAGTTTCACAACTTTTTAAAATAAAAAACAACAAATGCATTCAAGATCAAATAAAATGGCTGTAACAACAAAACTAAAATAAATACAGTGGAAGTGAAGGATATGGATTTATATTATTCGCCCAGTTCATTTGCACTCATGTCACAACAGTCCCCCGCTATAGTCTCCATTCTCTTGTACTGAAACTACTAAATATCAGAGCAGATTTCGGTCATTTTAACTCACCTGTCCTAAGTTTACAGTCAAGTCACAAACTACTAAAAACACACAAGGAAACACTGATGCAATACCAGACATGGAAAAACCCCAAGCTGCTGACGGTGTCTTCTGTGTTATGTCTCTCTCTAACTAACAACCATAGACTATTTAAGAGATGGATGGCCGTCACTGTGGCGTGACACACTGGCTAGTGGGCGGCTATTTTAAAGCCTCAGGTTTGGCATTGTTTTTTTTCACAAGACTGGACATGCTGGGTGAGGGGTGGACCTGAATTATAACTCCAGGAACATTGTATGACTATAATAGCAGTACTTTGTCAATCACAAAATAACCTCATCCTAAAGCACTCCCTGTTCTATTGTCCATTAGACTATAATGGGAGCATCATTTACCAAATGAACATCATCTTACTGAAGTATTAAAGAGAACTTGAAACTTCTGACTCAGGCTATAAAGTCATTAGAAGAAATGTTTACAGAGGCCATAAATCATGCGACAAATAGGGTCATTTTCCCCATTTACGGCATTCATTGGGTTCATATTGTGTATCCGGAGGTTAAATCCATCCTTTATATATGGTGCCACCCCTCCTTTTTTTCTTTAACTGAGAAATTAAGACCCAGTATTCAGACTTTCTTTCCATTTTCAGCGAGGTCTGGTGCTAAATAACAAGGTCAAGTAAGGATAATGGCTAGGGCACATTTCACATCAGGGACTTGTTCAGCGCAACCAATCCAATGTAGCAGATTTAAGAGTAGCTAGAAAGGTAC